GCAAGTGAGAGGTTTAGTCATCACCGGGTGACCAAGGAGATTGTTTTCCTGTGGGTGTATCAGAGGTACCATCTGCAGATCTTAAGGAAGTGGTCTTGGAGAAAGGAGGCTAATGCTGATTTTGAGGATTAAATATTTAGGCTGTGTGGTTGCATGTCAAGCAAGGCCAAGACAAAGGGACCTGTTACCCAAACTATCCCAATGAAAACAGGATGGGTAGCCTGCCTATTAGATCCCAGGCACTGTGGGGACCAGAATAACCACAGTGACTAATTGTGATGGGAGGCACTCATGAAACACACATTCCCATCAAAATATGGCTTTTTATTTTAGAGGCTCCACAAGCATAGCGTAGTAGAATTGTTTAGGTTGAAAAAGACCCTTAAGATCATCAAGTCCAACTGTTAACTCATCGCTTCCAAGTCCACCACTAAACAATATCTTCAAGTGTCATTTCTGCACATCTTTTTAATACTTCCAGGGATAGTGACTCAACCACTTCCCTGGGCATAACAACACCTTCTGTAAAGTTCTTCTCCTTAATATCGAATCTAAGCCTCCCCTGGTGCAACTTGAAGCCATTTCATCTTGTCCTATGGCTTGTTCTCTGGGAGAAGAGACTGACACCCACTTGGCTACCATTTCCTTTTCAGGTCACTGGAGAGAGCAATAAGGTCTCCCCTCAAGTCTCCTTTTTTCTAGGCTAAAAAACACCGGTTCCCTCTGTTGTTCTTCCTAAGACTTGCTGCCTTTCAGGATACACCCCTAAATCAGCAACAAGGCATCCATATGATCACATAATGAGTGTCCATATGATCATATGATCATGTGATCATATGATCACATGATCATATATGCTTAAATAACTCAAAACTCATTAAGCTTCAGAAAAGCACTGATTCTGAGCACTCCTGATGTTTTACTTGACAGCGAATACTTCTCCCAACCTGACCATTCCAACTAGTCTCCTGACCCTCTGTCACAACAGCACAGTCAGTAGCATGGCTGGAGAGTTGCACTTTGCTGCTTGAGGGAGGAGTCCTACAACAAACAATTTTGCGTAGAAAGTTAAATTATGAGGCAAACAGTACACCAAGAATTTACTGCCACTAGATGGCAAAAAACACATATGGAAAGCAACAACACATTTCTGAGAGCACAGCTAATGTTCTCTTCACTCAGGGGAGTTTATTCCTTTCTCGAGTAGCACAAGCAGGAAGACAACAGGGCAGCACAGAAGCCCTGTCCAAGTATGTACTTTGCCTTTGGAAAAGCTGCATTAAGTACCAACACTGCTTAATTCTCCACAACCCTCTGCATCAAGTTCTGTTTTAAAGCTAGCTAGCAAAAAAAAAAAAATTGTAGTTGTAGCCTCACAGGAGGTTTGGGGCTCCATAGAGTTCAGAAATCTGTCTGCAAGAGACTGTGAATCTCTGAGGATAGTGAAAGAGAAGGGGATATGGGGAAATCCTTAGCCATTTGAAAGGATTTACACTGCAAGACTCCTTGTTGACTATGGGACACACCATGTCATTTAAAGAGACACTTAAAGAACACAAAATGACCTCATCGATGCTAGGCCTGGGGACAGGCACACTGTGCAAGTCACTTGGGAAAACACTGGCACGAAACTCTCATTACCATGGTGTTATAAGTAATTACCACTAATTACTTATGGTGTTATAAGTTTTCCAAACATACTGGGTGTCTCAGTTTAAGGAGACTGAAAGTGTTTTGCTAAGGAGGGCGAGTTATGAGAGACTAAACTCCTCTCTCTCAGCAATTGTAAATCCAAAATTAAGAGGCTCCAATCAAGAAAGTATGGAAAAAAGGAAAATAACAACCCTTTATTAAAGGATATATATGTATTGGCAAAACCAGCAAAAGAACACTAAAACAACTAAACAATAATCCTGTACCCAAAAAGTCACCCGCAAAAAAAGGAAACAGTTTGATACTTCTCTGTCCTCTAGTGCGATTCTAATCCCGGTTGGCAGAGGGCGCTGTTGGATCACTGGAGGAGCAGAGCCTGCGGTTGCTCGGTGTTGGTCAGCAGGGGGGGCTGTTGGGCTCTGCTGGTTGCCGTGTGGGGGCCCCGGATCGCAGGAGAAGCCAAAAAATGAATAGTTTCCCACCCACTGAGGAGGGGAAGGGGAAAAGGGGAAAGAAGGGCGGTTTCTTTCCCACTAAACTCATGCTGTCTGCGGCTGGCTGTGGTCAGGACTCCCCTTTTTTTGTCAATGAGTACAAAACTCTCCAATGAAATCTGAGCAGATTTGAGCTGGAGACAGAGCAGTGCACAGGCAAGCCGAGGCTGGAGAGCAGCCGGATGACCAGGTCGAGAGCAAAACAGCCTCAGAGCTTTTTCCAACACACACACACACACACACCCCTTGCGGGAGGTGACTGAGTTGTGGACAGCTTGGGCCCTGAATTTGAGTGGTTGCAGCTGTGAGGTTGTAAAGGAATGTGAACACTGAAGTGAGAAGAAGATAAACAAAGAAGATGGAACTACTGAACCACAGAGGCAGCCGGACATCTGTAACAGTTCGTTTGGATACATGTCCGGAAAAAAAACAAGTGCCAGAAACATTCAAACACACAAAATATCTTTTATTACAGTGAGAATAGTAATAATAATAATAAAATTAGCAAAAAGAATCAAAAATTAAAAAAAGATACAAAATAACTACCTTACTGTGTGACCTTAAAAAACAAATGCTACGAACAGCATTTATAACACGATATTAACTAGTAAAAAGAGAGTTTAAAGGGATACCAAAAAGGGATCTTAACACAATATTATGGATAACTATTAACATGATATTGGTTAGTAAAAGGGGAAATTAAGGGAAAAATACTATGAACAACTTATTTATGTAAAAATATTCAATAGTAAAAGCGGAATTAAAGGGACACTAAAGGGACATTAAAAAAGTTTATTCTCTCGGTTGCTTCCTATCAATAAACTGTGCTTACACACACAGACAGGCCAGGGCTATCAGGATCTGCAGCAGCTGGTTGGTACCCATGCTCACTCCTCACACACACACACACCCAGCCCCAGACAGAGCTATTAGGCTGGAATGTAGTTCTGCCAGCCAGTTCCTTTGTGTAGGCAATCACCCAAAGCAGAAAACTGTCCTCCCCATTCAACATTCCTCCCCCACATACAGCAGGGGAAAGAAAATTCCCGTTTGGTTTTTTAGAACAAGTAAACCCATGACACTGGGGAACAAATCCCCCAGTATATTTCCCCCATCTCTACACTGTCATCTCCTTTGAACACTAGGCTGGGCAGTGATTCTTACTGTCATTGGATCTCTGTGAACACAAACGGAGCTGTCCTTGGGGGCTGAATGACTGCAAGGGTCATAAGTTAACATAGCATTGAGGACTTGTGCTACACATCCCAGCAGCTGTGCCACAAGGAACTATGTTACTGGTAAGTTTCATTTAGCTGGCGCAGTGCTACAGACAGAGCCCATTCATCCTGGTTTTCAACCTACTAATTTTCTTCACATCGAAACCCCCTTTCCATATTTGTTGGGTTTAACAGCCTTTGCAACATCTTGCAAAGCAAAATGACACAAAAGAGCTGGTTAATATTCAAGGATCACTTCCATCAAGCTCAAGAGAGTTTCATCCTAGAAAGCAGGAAGTCAGGCAAAAATTCCAGGAGGCCTGCATGGATGGCTTCATAAGGAGCTTCTTGTTCAAACACAAAAAGGAAGCTTAGAGAGAGTGGATGCAAAGAAAGATAACAGAAATGTTGTCTGGGCATGCAGGGATGAAGCTGGTAAAGCTAAAGCCCAAATGGAACTGAATCAGGCCAGTGGTGTCAGAGACAAACCAGAAGGACTTCTTTAAGCATGTAGGTGACAAAAGGAAAACCAGGGAAAATGTGGGCCCATCACTCACCAAGAAGGGGAAGCTTGTTACACAGGACAGGAAAAAAGCAGAAATACTGAATGTCTTCTTTGCCTATGTCTTTCCTAGCTTTTCCCAACCTTCAGGGATCAGGACAACTGACTCTAGGAAACCCTATTCCAAAAGAGGACTTGGACTAGAGCACCTTAGTCTTTCCGTGATTATGTGCAGAGGGTGAGCAGTAGCCACCAGTAAAGCAGGGCCATACCCACAGTGCGGCATGTGCAAAAGCATGCAGAGCATAGTGGGGCTCCTCAGCAAGAAGCAATAGCAGTCGCCAACAAGACTCGAGCAGGTGTCCTCCTTTTCTTCTGTTCCCCCTGCCAGCTTTGCTTCTCCCATTCTCCGATCACAAGGCTGTACCCTCTGCTTGCCTCTGGGACAGGTGGGGACCGGTCCAACTTTGGCAGAAAGGGCATGGCTGCCAGAACTGTCACGACATTTTAGAACTGCTGCGTTTGGTCAGAGAATTGGAGCTCTTTGGACCTAGGTGGGAGGGATGAGGAGAGTCATATTTTTGAAGGCTTATTAAGGCTTTCTTCCTGGGCTGGGAGTTAAGACTTCCCTCTCTGCCCTTGATCTGAGTGCAAATCAGTCTGGCAGATATCTTCAAGGCTGAAAGAGAAGCCAGGCCTGAAGGCCAAGCCAGAGTTCTCCTCTGCTCCCTTCAGCTCTGCTTTCAACTGCATCCTCAGCCTGTCCCAGAGGCCAGACAAACATGTCCCCTTCCTCTGTGAAGGCTTGAAGCACAGTCATGTTAAGATCATGGCCTACAGGTGAGCTATTGCTACTAATCAGTTGCCAGACTCTTCCAGTGCTTTAGAGCCATCCTCTTTGTGTTCTGGGCAGAAGATAATAGTGGGTGAGCTTCTGGTAGCCATAAAACACAGGCAAATCCCTGATCCTGTGGGAAGTGGAGGGGTTTGTAGCCTGCAAAGAAAAAAGGAAATTTCTTCAGCCTGCTTGCGGTGCACTGTAGCGTCTCTCCCCTGAGAAAGCTGGTGCAGAACCTCTGGGCCTTCACTTTGTGTTGTCATTGGGACAAACTGGGACAAGATGTGTTTGAAAGCTTCTTCCTGCCTGCTGTGTGCTGCCCATTGGCTGCTGGAGCAGCAGAGCAGAAATTCACTGTTGGCATCTGGCAAAGCAGCAGGTGACAGCAGTTATGAGGGGGTGCAGGGGTGAGGTGTCTGCTCTTCAAGAGGGACAAGACAAAGGAGTTGGGGAATTGTCCCGGTGTGGTATATTAATATAATATAAAAGACACGACCCGGCAGCTAGTTGGCAAGCAGTCAAATCTGTTTATTTAAAAGAAAAATGTCTCCCTATAAACCCTCTGACAGACATGTGACCACCTGACCAATGACAGCACAACACACACTGCTCATGTGCCCCAATATGCTGTCCAGGGACTTCAGTTCCCAGAATGCTTCCCTCCCTATTCTCGGACACGTCCCTACATCCTGGAATTCTGGCATGGTAGGCTTGGGGCACTCAGTGGGCATTTCTTGAGAGCTGTGGTGGCCCCCGCCTGCTCGGGCTGGGATCCCACTTCATCCTGAGCCTCATTTCATGGAAGTGTGTCCAGAGGCAGCCCGGCCACAGGCTGAAGCAAAAACCCAGAGCAGGCGATGCAGGAGCTGCTCCAGCGCCTACCACAGCCTCCGGCCCAGTGGGAGCAGCCCGGGCCCTGCCCCGGGGTGCCCTGAGGCGGGGCAGTGCCCACTCCCGCCAGCCGCCCTCACAAGGCCCAGGCCGCCTCCTTCCCACAAGGCCCAGCAGGGCCGCCCTCACTCCTGCCCCACCCTGCCATGTCCCGCCCGGCCTCACCCTGCACCGTGGCCTCTGCCACACCCCACGGTGACGTGCTGAGCGTTCCACCTGCCATTGTGACACCACAGGCACCAGTCGAGCACAGCTTCGTTGGTGCCCGGAGCCGGCGCTCAGAGCTGCTGTAGCCTCTCGAGGAGCAGTAGCACATCCCGCTGTGGGAGCATTTCGCGCCTGTATCGCCGTCTTGGTAGCTGCAGGCCACGAACGCTGCACAGGGCAACCTCGTCTGCCTTGTGCTTTATACCCCGTGCCCATCCTTCTTCTCATCCTCGTCCCTTTGTCACCCTCACCCTTAACTTCACCCTCGTCCCATTCCTCATCCCTACTTGGCGCCCGGCAGCCCCTCTGCAAGGGGGCTTCTTGCACTTCCTGCTGCTGGTAGCTCCAAGCAGGGCCATGCCGTGGCTTCTCAGCAAGAAGCGACGGCAGTCACCATCCAGCACCACCAGTGGGCAGCCCCGGGCTGCCACCAGCTCCACCAGTGCCTCCGAGCTCAGGGAGAACGGGCTGGGCAGGCTGCACCGCGCGGCCGCCCGCGGCGACCTGGCCTGGCTGAGGCGCTGGCGCTGGTATGTGAAGGTCGTCGGCATCGACAGGCGAGACCAGGAGATGCGGTGAGTTCTATGGGATGCTGATGGCACACCTTGGCCATCAAGAGTGAACTCTTGACCTTTTCACTGCTTGTTGCTGCCGGCTGGGCTCCAGCGCTGTTGGAAACGCGTGTTGCCGACCTGCCGCTTTGCTGTAGTCTCTCTGCAGGGCTGTTCTGCAGCTGCTCAGCCCTCACCTCTTCTCTTCTGCCCTCTGGCTAATCAGCGCAGGATTGCAGCAGCAGCAGCAGCAGCAGCAGAGAGCAGCAAGGGGGAGGAGCAGAGTCCGGGCAGGGTCCCCAGGGTGCTGGGTAGAGACACGGCTTTGGCTCATCCTTTGTCTATCTAGGTTGAGAGTGTATGTTTAATTTTTAGGACACCTCTGCATCTCGCTTCGGCAAATGGCCATGCAGATGTCCTTAGATATCTGCTAAGAAAGAACAGCCAGCCGAATCTCGCTGACAACTTGAAGAGAACGGCACTGATGAAGGTGTGTGGAATGCCTTATGATCTTGTAGGTGGGGATTAGTGATGGTGTGTTAAAGGGGAGGTGTCTGGCAGGATTCCATGCATCGCTAAGCCATAGAAACATGCATATTGCAATTGGCTTGGCATAGGTCTCTGTTAGCTAATCTTTGAAGATGGTCTTCTATCCTAGCGTTCAGGAGCTGAGGAAGTTGTGACAGAGGGGGATGTAAAAGTTGGAAGTCTTTCCCTTTTTGTGTGTTGTTCCCAGGCAGTACAGCAGGAGCAGGAAGAATGTGTTGCTATTCTGCTGGAACACGGTGCCGACCCGAATCTGGCAGACGCTGGCGGCAACACTGCCCTTCACCTGGCTGTCCTGTCCAAAAATACAGCTGTAGCAGGGCTGTTACTCGAGCATAATGCCAGTAGTGATGCTCAGAACCAGGTAACCTTGGCACGTGGGTAAAACTGCTCTTTCAAACAGCTGCAGAGCTTGTCTGTGTCTTTCTAATGGCGATTATTTGTCCTTTTAGATGGGATTTACTCCCTTAAAACTTGCAGCCCTCCTACAGCATGAGGAGATTCTGGAGTGCCTTCTGAAAAAAGCAGCTGACAGGCATGCTCAAGCCCAATGTGAAAGGTAAGAGGTTTGTCAAAACAGCACACGGGTCTTCTCGGTAGCCTGCAAGCAAGACCGAGACGAGGGGAGTGGCAATGAGCTTGGAAAAAGAAGGAGGAGCCACGTGGAAGCAGTTCCCTGCGTGACTGGTAAATGCAGGTCTGCACTTGGCTGCTCTCGTACCTTAGGGGCTCTTGTACCTTGCCCGCTGAGGTCTGCAAGAAAGCGTTGTCTGTGGTGCCCTCTCCCCACACAGACCCAGAGTCATCGGGAAACTTGCCAGTAGCTCAGCAGCATGGCTGCTCTGCAGGCAAGGGAGGTTTAAGCCAAGGCATAGTTGGTGCGTTAAGTGCTCTGAAGGGAAGCGTTGGGAGAAAGAGAAGCAACAGTGTCTGAGGGAACACGAGGGGCTCCAACCACACATAAGGAGAAAACTTCCTGCCATGTAGATGGTCAGGCGGTCGAACGGATTGCCCCGGGACTTTCTGCAGCCACATCTGTGGGGACTTTGAAGAGCAGTGCAAGGAGCCCTGAACAGCATGGCCTGACCTTGTAGTTGAGGCTGCTTTAGGGAGGCCCCTTCTAAGATAAATTCTCCAATGCTTCCATGTACTTGGCTTCGCTTTCACGGAGCTTGTAGGAAAGGGGGGAAGAGCTCTTTCGGGAACAAGCAGGGGAAAAATGATGCGGGATCAGACATGTTTCACATTAAATCTTGGATGCTTTAGGACTGCTTTTGTGGTTACTGGAACCCATGAGGTTCACCTGGAGGAAGATAATCTGCGCTTGCAGGAGGAGTTGGACAGGGCTGACACGGAGGTATGGAAAGCCTGTCCCTACAGGGATAAACCTGGCGGTGCCCGTTGCTTCCTATACATCATGAAAACGGACAAAACAGTATTCTGGGAACCAGTAGGACAGAGACCTAAGGAAGTGGCAGTTACATCGGGCTTTGATCTGCCTCTGTCCCTCCGGCCCCCTGCCCCACAACCCGCCATGCTGAGGCAGAGCTGCCTCTCCTTAGGGTTTCACCCGTGACCGGCCAGGGGGGCTGGGGTTCCTCTCTCTCTGCTACATTCAAGATTTTCCTGGTCTAAGAAGACTCCCCACACACCCCTGGCGTGATTCTCGACTCCAGGGCAGGTCTGTGGAGCAGTTCACCTGGCTGCCTTTGCTGAAATGGTGGTCATTAGCTTGTCAGTGATGCCATCCTTCCTGGCCCCACCACACTGAAGCAGAGCCGCCTCTCCTCAGGCATCCACTGCTTCCTGCTTAGGGGCTGCTGGGCACCTCTCTCTGTGCTACAGTCGGGGTCATTCCCACTTAAGAAAACTCCCCATGCTCCCCCTGTGCAATCCTGGGCTCCAGAGCACATGTGCCAGAGCACTTCACCTCTGACACTTGTGAGATGCCTTCCTTTAGGAAGATGAATTAGTTCACTCATCTTTTCCTGGAGCAGCAAGCAAGGGAATACAAGAAGCGTCACAGGTCACAAAAATGGTCCGAGGGGCAGTGTCAGTGCTTAGAACCGTGCTGTAGGAAAGCAGTGGAGGAGTGGGAGAGGCTGCTGTAAAAGAGGACAAAGGAATAGAGCTTGTGTTCATTGGGTAGTAGAAGTGAAGCTTTGAAGGTACTTGAATTGATTCCAGTTCTTTGGGCAGAGGGTATGCACACATACATGCAGCACCTGAGTTCTTCAGCAGCAGCTGGCTCCTCTATGTAGAAGCTCCCCTGACAACTGTGGATTCTTACCATGATTTTACAGCTGCAGGAGGAGGAAGAAAAGCATCTTCAGTCTGAGCATTGCGTTCGTGACTTGAAGACTGCCTTGGATGATAAGGAAAGAGAAGCAATAACTTCTTCCCTGAAACTGCAGGACCTCCTGTTGCCATCTTCCGAGACTAATACCACTCTAAAACAACTGGAAGAACACGTGCAACAGTAAGAGAGTAACCCAGTGAAGCAAGGTGTCTGTCGCTTTGGGGGATTGGGTGGAAACAACGGGACAGTCAGTTGGATTTTGAAGGACACTTCTGCTGTGGATTCTGTTACTTAGCACAGTTTGTCTGGAACTGGATTTTCTGGTAATAAGACCCGTATTTGTTTTTAAGCCTTGAAATTGAAAAGACCAGATTGGAAGCCACTGTCCAGCAACAAAGCAATAGGATTGAAGCCCTTCAGAGAGACCTGCAAGCCTCTGCCTCAGTAAGCTGGTCATAAATTTCCCTTTTTGTGACTCTTGAGCCTAGTTGCCTATTTCTGGGGGGAAACTGTAAGATGAAGTTTTCCTGGAGAGCCTAGGGGAGCTCAGTTTCTGCCTTCTCCTCAGTAGAGGCTGCTCAGAAAGCAGCCTAGTCCTTTCCCCAGCTGTTACAAAAGCCCTGAGGGTATTTGCTGTGCTGGACACTAGAGCAATTCTTAGATTATTAATTATGAGTTTCATCATGAGCTCCAAGGGACCCAGAAGTATTGCTCCCAGAAGTGTCTCACAAATTTTTAAGTAGTTGTGAAGTTTCTTCTTTCTGTCAGGGAATCTTTCAAGTGTTTTCTATGCTCGTTTCTGGCAGATGATAAATGCAGTTATGATGGCCACCCTCTTTAGAGGTTTTCCCAGAATTCACTGCCTTTAGATCACACTGAGTTTCCTTTTTTTTTCTGTGTACAGGTTGGTGAACTTTCCCAGCAGCTGGACATGGAGCCTAAAACAGGCATGCAGCTAGAGGCCCAAAACCAGACTTTGCAAGAAGAGCTGTCCACTCTGCATGGGAAGTATGAAAAACTGGAGAAGAGCAAATGCCAGCTGCAAGAAGAAGTGACAAAAGTCCATCATCGTTTGGAGACTTTCGTGCTGGATGGCAGCCAAACAGCACAATGTAAAAGAGAGGTGGAAGAACGAGCTGACCACGAAATAAGTCAAAAGCCACAAGACGTCAGTCTCGTTCTGCAAGTAAGTGAATTTCTCACCAGTGTCCACAGGCGCTACGTAAACTTCTGTTGTGGCCATCAGTTTTGGTCTTTTTCTTTTGCTCCTGTATTCTGTGTGTTAGCTTCTGCCTTTCCTGAAGGCAGTGGGAGAAGGCAATATGGTTGGGCAGAAGGGCTGTCACGGGTGTGTAATGTGCCGGCAGGTCCCTGAATCAAAAGCCTGCCCCAGGCAGATTCCCACTTTGCAGTGCTTGGGGGTATCTCTGTCCGCTGGCCTGGTTCTCACTGCTCATCCTTCAATGGGTTTTGCAACTGCCAGCTGTCATGGCCAGACCTACAGGTGCTGCTTTGTCCTTGTAGGGGGGGAAGGTGCTCAGAAAAGGAGTCACTGAAATTCCAGGGGTGGGGGTGAGGGGGTGGAGGTGGGGGATGCTCTTATTGTCTTTGAGGAATCCTTTTCGATATACCCTGTCCTACAGATACACTGTCTCTTCATTAGGAGCTTTGAATAAGAGTGCTGATTTGGGCTTCTTTCCCAATGAAAAGAATTATTTGCTGTGGTAGCTCCTGGGTTCTGCCTTGGTTGCTGCTGGTAGTGAGGAGGCACAGCTGCCTCTCTGAGTAAGGCAGGGCCCTTGAAACTGGATATGTGCAATTTTCTGCTGGGCAGAGCTCTCTTTTTCTTGTGGTGGTTGAAGGTGCACTGTCTCCTTCAGGCACAGGCAGCCTCCCAGGCTCGATTAGGACAGAACGGAGACAGTCATTGCGATTCAGTGAGAATCCAGTTAGAAGAAAGAATTAGAGATCTCGAAAGTGAACTGGACAGGGTAAAAAAAACCCAACAAGAGAGTGCTTCTCGTAAAGAAGCAACGTGGGGAGAAATGGAAATGTATAAAGACCTGTATCTGGAGGAATTGAAAACTAGAAGATGCCTAGAGAAGAAACTGGAAAGGTAAGTCCATGCTTTTTTGGAGTGGTAATAAGTGACTCCGTTTTCTTCATGCATTTTCCTTCTAAATGCATTGTCTACATCTCAGCAGCATTATTGCCCTACATTGGCCAACAGGGTCTGATGTAGTTGCCAAGACACTCTCCTTGATATTTGAAAAGTCGTGGCAGTCGGGTGAAGTCCCAGGTGACGGGAAAAAGGGAAACCCACTGTACCCATCTTTGAAATGGGTAGGAAGGAGGGCCCTGGTAACTGCCAACCTGTCTGCCTCCCCTCTGTGCCTGGGAAGGTCATGGAAAAGACCTTCTAGAAGCTATGTCAAGGCACATGGATGACAGGGAGGTGATCTGAAGCACCAGCACAGGACTGATGTCCTGAGGGACATCAGTGAGACCCCACCTGGAGTGCTGCATCCAGCTCTGGGGTCCTCAGCAAAGCAAGGACCTCCACCTGTTGGAGTGAGTCCAGAGGAGGCCACCAAGGGGGTTAGAAAGATGGAGCACCTCTGCTATGAGGAAAAGCTGGGACAATTGCAATACTTCAGCCTGGAAAAGAGAAGGCTTTGGGGTGACCTAATTGTGGCCTTTCAGTACGTGAAGGGAACCTACCACAAGGATGAAAAGAGTGCATTTAAAAGAGCATGTAGTGAGAGGACAAGAGGGGGGGGAATGTCTTCAAACGGAAAGACAGTAGGTTTAGGTTTGATACTAGGAAGAAATTGGTTGCTGTGAGGGTGGTGAGGAACTGCAACAGGCTGCCCAGAGAAGCTGTGGATGCCCCATCCCTGGAAGTGTTCAAGGCCAGGTTGGATGGAGCTCTGAACAACCTGGTCTCGTGGAAGGTGTCCCAGCCCACAGCAGGAGGCTTGGAACGAGATGATCTTTAAGGTCCCTGCCAAGCCAAGCCATTCTGTGCTTCTCTGATGTCTGTGCTGCTTATGTGAGACGGTGGGGAAAAGGCTGGTTCTTCCTGTGTTTCATGGTTTTCTTAACTAATTTGCTGTGCAGGTTGGAAAAGCTTCTGAGGGTAGATAGGAGGAAACTCAGGGCTAATGAAGAAACCCAGTCCCAGCTGGAAGAAATGAAGAACAGATATTCTGAAAAGGTCAGGGAAGTGGATAGATTACGAACAGAGGTGAGCTGCACTTTGGGTGGGGTTTTTTGGTTGTGATGTTACTTCTTTTGAAACCTGGGAGATGCTTTCCATATATTTCTTGTCATGTTGATGATTTTTTTTTCCTTGGCTGCATTTTGGATGTGATGGGCTTTTCTTATTGCTCCTTCTGCTGTTACAGTAGTAGATGACTATACCTAATACGGAGGTAGTTATCATTATGGGTAAAGATGCAGCTGTAAGGGCAAAGCAGTAGGTGTAAGGGCTCATGGAGGCCAGGCTGTCTTGCAGAGGAAGGGCAAGCCAAGAGTGGCAGCCAGCCTGGCAGGGTGCATGACCTCAGCGGCCAGGGAGCCCTCCCACAGGCCCTCAGCAAGAAGAGCAGAACAGGTCTGCTGACAGTAAGCGGGGTCAGCCAAGAGTGCAGATCCCCTGGCTGGGCCTTAGGGATGGGCAGGTCTGCCATCCTTGCAGGACATCACGTCCATGGGCTGAGAGCAGTGGGGCCCAGCTCAGGCCTGGCTGTAGCTTGAGGGAGGCTGTGACAGCGTCATCTGGGTCTGACAGATGAATTCCTGCCCTGGAAGAGAGGGGAGGAACACCGCTGTCACTCGCAGGGCACAATCAGCCCCTGAGCCCTGTCTCAGGCGTGAGCTGAGCAGGAGGCACTTGACGTTTTGCTTTTCTCAACAGTGTTGTTGCTGCCCAGGGCACAATGAGGACAGGTGCCTCCCAGGGGAAAATCTGTAACTTATTGCTCACGGGTAGCTCTTTCAGCCCCTCTTGTCACAGGGACTCAGAAGGACTGTTCCCAGCAGTGGTTTTGAGGCTGCTCTGCCTGTGCAGTAGTGGCATGTAACCTTTGATTTCCTTCTCTGCTCCTTACTCAGATTCGTTGCTAAAGTGGCCATCTTTCACAGCTACACTTGGGTTTGGAAGGCATCACTGTAGAATCACTTACTGCCTTTGCAGTGATTCCTTTTGAGTCCGGAAACTTGTAGCATTTTTGCATGAGGAACACCAAAAGGATGGGAACCTGAGGAATGCTGAGACAAATGAGGTGAAAGCTCTTCTGGCTGGAAAAGAAGAGCCTGGTTGCACTTTGTTTCTAGTCCCGAGCCAGCAGATGATGAAGATAGTCTCCCTGGCCACCCCCTTTTGGGGTTTCCACAGAATTCACTGCCTTTACATCACGCTGAGTTCCTGTTTTCTTCTTTCTGTCTGCAGGTTGCTGAACTTTCCCAGCAGCTGGACAGGGAAAGTAAAAAGTGCACGCAGCTGGAAGCCAAAAATCAGGATTTGCAAGGAGAGCTGTCTACCCTGCGAGGGAAGTGCGAAAACCTGGAGATGGACAAATGCCAGCTGCAAGAAGAGCTGGCAAAAGTCCAGCACCATTTGGAGACTAACATGGTGGATCGCACCCAACTAGAACAATGTAAAAGAGAGG